AAAGTGTATCTTCATTCAAACAACCATATACATGTCGTGGAAGTTACAATCGGGTAAGATCGCAGTTGGTATCCGGGCACTGTACGTTGATACTGTCGACGTACTTGTTATCAGTGGGTGTGTTTACCTTGCCTAGAGAACTGGTTATCAGTAGGTGTGCTTCTACTGCGTGAGGTAGGTCGGCCGTTTCGGTCAGGCTGTTGGGTTCCGTGAGGGCTACGGTAAGGCGTAGGTTACGTTTTAGGATCCGGGTCTCAGTGTTAGGGTTTAGGTTTACGATTATGGTTTGGCTTTAGGGTTGGGGTTCGGCTTCAGGGTTAGAGTTACCGGTTAACGATTAATAGTTAACGGTTAAGGTAAGGGTTAGGGTTATCCTATCATTATTTACCTCTTTCATTTTTCGCAGGCTGTGCTGTTTTCCGCGGGATTTTTTTTCAGTTTCTGCCATTACTCTATCTTACTAAAACTTCCCACTAATTTTTTCGTTTAATTTATCTTTTCCCCGAAACTGCAGCATTCGTTCAGCAGCACTTCCACTTACCACACCCATATAACCCCCATTCCCACCATTGCCGTAAGGCAGGGACCCCGCCGTCAGCCTCCCCATTCCTGGATACCAACTGCGATCTAACCTACAATCGGTCACTGACTGTTTGTCTCGACTGAAATAAGTAGACAGAGCTGGACAGATTATTAAACCGTCGAGTCTCGCTGATTGAAACAAACCGTTTCAAAACGGCATTTTCTTCCCCCATTGTCTTAGGCATCTGTTGACCTAATATTCTAACGATAGTCTTGCGACTATTCAGAATGACGACATTCCACCCATTTGAGGATTCCGTCGGGTGGAGCGCGACAGCGGGTTGTTGTACATAGCCGAGACCGGTGATGTCTGAGAATCCGATCAGGTTCTGATTCGCAGATGTCCGGATCTTCACCCTGAGTCCCAAAACGTGAGGGTTCGAAAATTTAGACGCGCAGCTCGATGTAGCCCAACTAAGGGGGAGGGGAAAGGCAGCAGTCGAAAAGTTTCTCGGATTCAACGGGTGGTGCCGAATTGGCCAAGTCAGCTCGAAAACCCCATGGTTGTGTGAACAGACAGTTCGAGTAGAACGTCGTAATGACAAGTCTTTCAACTAAATTCATGCGGCTGGAGAGGAAAGCAAAGTCTACCGGATGGAAGTGGCGACGACCATAGTGCAGGCCTCAGACATCGGCAGTACTTGAGAACATTTCCAATGCATTTGCAAGTCGGTTTTTTTCTTGTGCTGACGAAAATGGCGACTTTGTTGTCGAAATTCCATCACTTTACAGCGTTGGCATGAGTAGTCTGGGCACCTTTCCAACTCTACTGACTATAACATCACAATCCCTCTCTGCATAGGAAAGAAATTACATCCTTAATCAGCCCACAAGTGTCACATGCATACCCTCCCAGGGAAGAAATCACTGATGCAAGGTCGAGACTACACGGAACCAGGCTTCCGAGGAGAACGAACCTCCCGCAGAAGTGTAGCAATCTTGTGTTTACATTGAATTATTGACCCCATTAGGTGATCAAGCAAAAAGTGGAAGGCACCATAATACGTTGTCGCTCCTCCTCGGCCAGCAGTTAATAAGACGATGAATGAGAACTCTCATGGGGAATCTGATCGGCGTTTCTTCGGATGCCTTGTCTGGTATCACATTCAGGCGGTTTCGAAGTATTCGTGATTCAAAGACGAAACCACACCCAATCGAGTTCCCAGCTGGAAGTGGAAATGACATTGGACACAAATTTGTATAACATGTAACTTGAAATCCCACCGTGATAGCCAGTAGCAGGCAGTCGTTTGTTTTGTTACTTTTGCTACCGTGCGATTCAGTTTATTGCGAGCACCTCTGGTGGGTAATGGGAAAAGACGGTGTCCGTGAACATCACTGATGTAGTCAAGGCTTGCTATTGAATCACCACTGCCTCAACTCCTGTCCAAAGCAACCTCTCGGAACCATTCGATATCCGGTCTGGTGTTTGACAAGGATACACCCCGCTGCCCACTCTACCTAAATATGACACTGACTGGTTTCTCATGCGTGGGGTAGAAGTGCACCAGGATGCCGTACAACCGACACTGTCTGCATTCACGATGAAATCTTACCCAGGCCAAAGTATATAGGCCTATGTGAACGAAATAATCAAGTAAACCGTTTGCCTACCAACTTTGAAGAAAATTCTGAAAGAAAACCTCTGACCGACAGGAGGCACTCCTCATGAGTGGCACTATTACCTGTGGCCAGCCCCTTGACAACCAGACAGAGCAAGTATGACATCTACAATGGCCCGATACTGCCAGTCGGTATGTGGAAATTCTCGGTGTCAGTGAACCCCCGTGGATATGTAAATCACCACAAAGGCCTGCGTGTACCGGGTATCCGTGAGGTCAGCTCCCTTCCCTTCTATAGGGCTATGAATTCTGGGCTGTGCGGGAAGAAGGCGGACAAAGACTGCAGGATTTTGAGATACAGAGGCCTGAAAACCCGCCTCAAATCAAAGTGCGGCGATTTCGCCCCAAACGGGACTGTTTGCATTTGCTTCGATAACACTGCGATGTTATCTCAGACCATAAAAGGAAGAGAGCTAAGATGGTTTCGAACCGTTATTTGTAACCCGGCCAATGAGTTTAGTATACCGCTGTAAATCAAAACAGTAAAGTCTAAGTGGAGGCGAAAAGGACAGCAGTCCAAAATCTGACTCGAAACGGTCTGCCAAATTAGTTCAGGCACATTTGACCATCGCAAGTTGGAGGAAGAGACATCGAACCCCCTAGATCAGCTGCTGTAGATCGCAACATCTGGGGGTACTGCGAGTTGTGTTATTGAGGCTGAGCACATCAAGCACCGTCAGATCCGCGCCGAGCGACCACTAGTGCTTCTGATGACTCGTAGTCTTTAATGAGACGATAAGGTACGCTCACAGGGCAGCTGAGGCGCGCCGATTTCCCCACCAGCTGCCCACGTTGGCGGCGCCTGCTGATTGATCAATCGGCACGTGCTCTTAGTAGCTACTGAAGCCCGCGCCAGTCAGACACTTGACCGGACTCTCCAACGGCAGTCTCTCCCGTACACCTGCGTCTGTCTGTGATCGCTAGCGACCGCCTCTACAATCACGCTCCAACCGGCTTTGCTTCGTCTACTTTGGATCTAGTAACGCGCTGCTTTCAGGAACGTAAGCAAAAGAGGTCCCTACATCTCTAAATTAGCCTTCAAATCCCGGAATGCCCTTTTAACGTTTGAATCTGGCATGCCTACAAGTCTGTCCGTTCGTCACAAATAAAAGGGACCACCAGTTCTGGAGACGAGTCTCCAGCCCTGCCGCGGTGGATTCGAAGGACTGCGAGCAGATCTACGCGTGACACAAGTGTTCGGCCACATTAAAGGCAGGTTGATATGAGTGCCGAGTATACAGTTTGGAATGTGTAAGCTGCATGGGTACACTAGGGCGTTACGGGAATAAGTAGTGGTGCCTCGGGGATGACTGTGTGCATGCGTGTATGACCGTGCGGTGGATGTTGCGCAAGTCTACTACCACTATAGGCTAATTCACGCGCAAGTCACCGGGCCTGCTGCATCTTGCTGTGTAGCACAGGGTGGACATCGTCCGACTGTCATGACCGCGCAAGCCCGCGCGAATGTGCTGACAGATAAGACTGGTATGAGCTATGTTGGCTGGGACTTACGGCATCGGTCATCCAATTGCGCTGGGTTTGATCAGACTAATGATGCCACTTGGAAGGCGGCCATCTGTGCGCATGGCGGCAATCTAGAGGGACACTGTGCCTGTCCCAACAATCAGTTGGCAAAAGATGAGGGCGTGGTTAACAGAAAAGGATCTGCTGGCGAAGGTTACTTAATTGTTAAGGCGTACGCTCTGTCTGCTGCGCCCCACGTCGGAGCTCCTGGCGCCGCAAGTGGGCGAGACGTCATCTACTCCTTCCCCGGTAGGGGATTTAGTTGCCCATGTAACTAGTTCTGGTGGCAACAGAGGGGATTGGAGATCGCCGTTGGTATCTCCGCCGCAGCCTACTTCCAAAGGATCATGCAACTTCATGGTGAGTCAAGCGCTCCCCGCGATCGTTTTCGTCGCTCACTTCTCCGTGATAGCTCCTACCCGTTTCAAACACCCTTCCACGGCCATGCTGTTCCTTCCAGTCACCGGAAATTGTCTTCCACTAGCAAGCATTTCATAAGGATGTGAACGCTTATAATACTAAAATTATGAACGCCCTAGGTCACGCGACAGTGCTCTGCACATACTGCACACCAGTCTTCGGCAATAACCGTTTGAAAGGCGCCACTGTTATTCCGAGAGCGGTTGCAGTGTGCCACCCGACAATGGGAATTGCTGCAGACTGGCAATGCAGAAGAAAGACCCAAACGTTGAACGGTTTGGCCCCGTTCAAAGCTTTTAAACGACTCGGTATAAATGCCCTTCTCGTTTAAACTTGGTTTATGCGGAGTAGACTACATATGGCAGCAGACTTCCCACCGTTTTCAAAACTGTCACGCAGAACTGGCACCTTCTGCCTTGCCGGGGACCTCTTGAATTCAGACCAACTGTTCGTTTCCGCCCCAGGAAAGCCTCCCATTTGTGTGGAATTACCGGTTCCGTGGCCTGCATCGTCAAAAATAGTTGTTACTTAATGGAAACGGTGAACATCCCAGATGCCAACCAACCAGAAAGTGTCCGAGCGTTTACCACAAATTCAGATATCTGGATATGTACAAGGGCATTACTGTGGTCTTGTACGGGGGGGGGCAAACATTAGCAACAAAAATGATAGCCGACGTGGCAGTCTTTGTGGCAGGGACATGAGACGGTAGAATAGGGTGGAATGCAAAACAAATGTGCAAAGTGATCCAATGTGAGTAGAGTTTACATAGAAGAGGACGGACGACTTAGGAAGGCAATTGTGTCCTCGAGCGCAGGCCGCTGACGTCTTACACGCTAGCGGAGTCCGAGCTTACGCCGACGTAATTTGGATTGATTCCTCAATCTCTTCGTACGGCTCTGTTGAAACCAGACCGACGGAGTGCTGCTCAGAGGCCAGTTCTGCTACAGCCGCGGAGGATTCGTCTACCTGAAAGGCCAATAGGCAGATCAATGGGATTACAACAGAGCCGCTGGGCACACAACCATACAACAATCCAGAAGAGGAGTCATACCTCCTGTAGACCTGAGATCCCGCATTCCTTGTCGACAGTATTGGTCAACGCGACAGGCTGAATCGGCCGACTGTGTACCACATGGGAAGACATGGTTATGGGAGCTGAAACATGGAAGAATAGGCCACACCCTGTGTGAACAACAGCAAGGTAATTAACTACACAAGTCAACGAGTTTGCGGACTTGACTAAAAAACGAAGCCTAGATTCAGACGAAATAGAGGTGGGCAGTACTGACCCTGGCGGAACCTCTTGTTCAATTGGGGAAGTTCCTCGAGAATTTTGACCGAAATCAAAACCATGGGCATGCATAAAATGTCGGCTGAAGTTCTGAAATGCGTTTTTAATTAGGAAAGATGACTTATGTGGGGTTGTAATATTGATTATCATGAGGCATAACCCCATAACATTTCGTACTCACCAAGGTGTTCGCTTTTGGATGCACTTCTTTTCGACCTGTAGAAACCGTACTCGGTAAGAAATGACTACTCAAGTAGCACGTACTTTTCACATCGATTTTCGATGATCTTATATATTGAAATACATTTTATAGGAAACATGCGCAAAACATGCTCCTTTTACTCACTTGACAGCTAATTACATCGTCTTTGCATATTATACTCGAAGAAAAGGTATATTCAGGTTTTGAAAAAGTTTCCCAATGCCCGACTAATTGAACCGCATCGGTCGTTGCATTAGCGTTCAACGATTTCAGTCTACAAGATGTATACTTTCCGCGTATGAAAAACCATATATTCCTCTATGACTTTAAGATGATGCCATGTAGATTTCCCAAAACTTCGCAATCGATGCGGATTATTTTGTACACTTTATGAGAAGTATTGATTTACAGACGGATACGATGCTGTATGAATGGACATTTCGCGATCTTAAAAAAATCTCATAATTGGAAACTTCTTTAAAACCGAAAGTCACTCTTACTTCGAGTAGTAAATGTGAGGACGACGTAATTAGCTGTCAAATGAGTAAAAGGATGCATATTTTATGCATGTTTCCTATAAAATATGCTTAAATTTACAAGGTCATATAAAATCAGTGTAAAAATAGGTGCTAACTAAGTAGTCATTTTTACAGAGTACAGCTTTTGCAGGAGCTCAAAAAGAAGCGCATTCGAAAGCCAATATCTTAACGAGTACGAAACGTTATGGGGTTATGCCGCATGATAATCAGTATTACAACCCCACCTAAGTAATCTTTCCTAATCGAAAACGTATTTCAGAATTTCAGCTGATATTTAACGAGATCTGCCACTCACTGTGTAAGACCCCAAGTCTTTAAACTTGTTGGATGCGTCGTTCACCTGTCGGTTTAGTTTCCATAAGGGGTACAGATAGTTACGCCTTACTATAGGACAGATGGGTAGTCCAAGAGGTCACGAATGAATACCTCTCGGTACTCATTGCAAAGGGAACGGCAACTCTCTGGTGACTCAACATTTCTTAAAGACACTAGGATTGACATCGCAGAATAGAACGCTAGTCAGAAGTTCATTAAATGGCGGCTGACTTTAAACAGAGCATAACACCGGAGGATCTGAAACAATGCAACGCGGTGGCAGTTGGAGGAAAAACCAAGCAAATCCGGAGGGTGAAAGTGGATTGGTCGGACAGCAGAGACCTACAACATCTTCCGTTAATGACGTCGTCAGAAACGATTTCCTGTCAAAGCTTACGCTGGCTTTCTCGACAGAATTTTACTGACTCGTACCGACTACTTGAGCACTACGTGGGGTTGACGGCTAGTCATTAGGACATCCTATGGTGCCTCTAATTTCGAGGATGACGCTGTGGTATGGCGACCATTAACATCCCTCGGATACAATCTTTTTTAAGTCACAAGAGGCCAATGGAATAGGCCTACTCGCCGATTGAGACGAACAGGCGAGTTCCAGGAAGCAGTTCGTGATGTTTCTGATAACCAGGCCAGCTGTCCAATATGGTGCTGATCTGACAATTCAGTTACTCACGAGAGGATCACAAGCCGTAGCTGAACTATGACATGGTGCATGCTGTCAGCTTTCATCGTGGCCGTCTAGCATAACTTTTGAACCATAAACCACTGTGCCAGAAAGGCGAATGCAGACACCCACTTCCGGCTAAACCATACCACCCTACCAACCAGCCATTGTCTGCCGAGTCACGATCAAAACAGGTTTTGGGATGACCACAGGGCCATGGTTTGCTAGCTCTAGTCGAAAGAGGAATTTGCTGCACGATAGAAATAACTGCCCATTCTCGAAGACCCACACTTGTTTCCTTGTCACTAATGCCTTTTGGGCTGGATACCTGCTCAACGGCCGACAGAAATGCTATAACATCCAACCTGTAACAAACCATCGAACTTCTATTGTTCCATATGTTCCTATATTACCGTGCCGAGGGAAGCCCAGAACTTCACTAAAGGAGTCCGGGCTGATTCTCGGAAATGGGCAAAAGCGGTAGGTTAAGAAAGACAGGTGGAAGGCAAAAAAAGAGAAAACGACTTTGACAGGATACTATGCATGACCGACCAGCACAGCGACAACGCTACGCTGCCCAGGTTACTGGTTAACAAGGTGCCCAGAGCGGGGTTTCGGACTAATAAAAGAGAGCCTAAAACGAAGGTGGAGGCAGCGGAAGATTCGGCGGTTAAGTAGTGACCCAGGTGATTCCGATGTGGGACTTTTTGCCTTGCCAGGTGGGTTTATGGATAATTTGCTACTGGAAGAAGCAATCAAGTCGTTAACCCGAGGTTGTCAGTTTCGGAATTTAGCTAAAAATAACTGCAAAGAAATCTTCCAGAAGTCAAGTTTTATTTACCCCCTAGGAACCAGCAACCCGAAGTGCAACTGAGCAAATATGGGTCAGAGCTCAAAATGTTTATGTTAATGTCCTTGCCGATTACGATTACTACGTTGCCTACCGGAAATGCTGGTCGACAGGCAGGCGAGAGGAGTTGGGGGGACTGAATTCGAAGGTGTAGTGACGGTGGCTGCTGCGGCGTTTCCCTCCCGAGGCAGGAAAAGGGGGCCGCTGATGGACTTGCCGGTGGCCAAAGGTGCGGCTACCACAGCCGCCGCGGTAGGCGATATTGAAGTATCTGTTTGAGCACCACGCGGTGAAGAGAGCACCCGCGACGCGTTGGGATTTGTGGAAGCGAAGAGACGATTGACTAGGTCCACTGGGATGCCCCCCAGTACCACTGTGAAGGCGGGAGGGATGGTGGAGTCGCCAGCAAAGCCAGGTTCTCGTAGACAGGCGCCGGGGATCTTGGGTAGGCTGCCAAGCCGGGGCACGTAGGAGAATTCGTCCACAACGGAGGCTGAGGTGGATGTGAAGACACCCGCGGCATGCGTAGGGGTGCCAGTAGCGAGGAGGGTCTGGGACCGAGTGGCTGGTGAAGAGGTTGCTGGCGAGGCACTGAGCATCTTCACGGGCAACTGCGGGGCTGGAAGGAGGGAACGGGTGGAGCAAAAAGGTGGACTGGTCTAGGGAGTGGATGTAAAATTACTGAAAAGCGAAATGTACTGGGTGCTAGCTAGTGTCAACATTATAGCTTAACCTGATACTAACCCAAAGCAAATATCACCCCATCAATCTTGACAGCAGTAATGGCCAGCAGCACGACGACCAATGCCGTTAACCGTCTTAACGCCATTGCCAAACCGCCACAAATAGTCAGGATCGCAAGGGCAATTAAGGGCGAGCGAAATCAGGTGAATAAGTAAGCGCAGTAGCGAATAAAACTAGCAATGTAAAACATCCGAACAGGTTGAGGAAAGCTTTTATAAGAAATAATCGGCTCCGCAACCGAAGTTGCCCTCTGCATTGACACATTCGCCCACCAAAAGTGCGAGAAGTGAAGATAAATGGGATGAGAGGCCAAATCTTCAAGATGGTCGTGCATATCGTTTAACTAAAAGCGGCATAAGACAGGAACTTCCGCTGCAAGTCATGTCACGTGGCACGTTAATGCGTTGATTAAAGGTTAAAAATAAAGGAGAACATGCATAAGAACGAGTGAATAAGTGTGGCGGACGCAACTATGAAAACTACCCTCTTGCTATAGAGATGGGCCATTCAAGCCCTGAGGTTGGGGATTCTACCAGTCTAAGGTTGTTCTCCAGAGTACTTGTGGTCAAAAACTCGATACATTGTTCTCCCACAGTAGATGTGAAAAGAGGAAGAATCGCAAAACATGCAACATTTAATGGCGTCATGAACGGTCATTGCATATTTATAAAAATATCGGCTCAGTAGTAAAAAGAAACCTAGGACAATCAGACGGGAGTGATACGTAAACGGCCGTCTGATTATCCTAGGCTGTTATTCTGGAACCGATAGTTAAGCAAATATACAGGGACCTTTTGCAATTGAGCAAGAGGCCACAAAGTATATGGTTCCAACTAAATTCTATATGTTTTGTCACCTTTGCCCTGTACAGTGCAGAAGCTGCCTCCGTGCAAGTGCAGCGCCTTGGGGTGACTTCACTAGGTCATGGCTTCTGCAGTATCCCTTTGAATCCCTTAGAATGCTGTCTCCGGAAAGTCAGGCCTGGTAGGGTTAGATTGGATTAGTTCGCAACTCACTGAAACACACTGCCCCTTATAGATTAGGAAGGGGTTAGGATGGATGTGATGTCTTGAGTGAAAGAGGTATCTAAAACAGTCGATTCGTCTATCAGGGTATTCTCGAGCAGTATCTCTAATCAGGAGGCATTTTTCGTGACTAATGGCTGCCATGCTAGGGACAGATACAGTCTAACATTTTCCGGCTACGTTACCGTTCAATGGACGGAATAATGACACCACAGTCGTTCAAACTAATGTTGCTCGAATGGATTTTGCAAATCCTCAAAGTTCCGCGTGCTCACTGCGGCACCTCAGTCTCCACAAACATCCCTGAGCACCGGTAGCCCTCCTGGTCACTCTTCCTCTACGATCGCGAATGCAAGGTTCAGTAAGTGGAAAACAAATGAAAACCGGCGGTTTTGTCTACAGTTCCTGAGAACGACCCTTTGAGTGAAGTATACCGACTGCAACTCGCAAGGTAGTCAGCGTTCACCGCCATAACATCACGAGGATGTATTGGACCACCCAAAGAAAACGGTTGAGGTTATTCTGGCGCCGACCTATCGCCAACCTCAGAGGCGATGCCCTGAATGCGATGCCGCTGACTTGAGGAGGCATACAAATTAGCTCAAAACCTGACTAGATACAGTCCATCAAGGCATGGGATCCAGGACCATAGGAACTTCAGCAAACAAGGGACCTGCCTGTTAATCTAGTTGCTGACAGCCCGGCCCACCCACCGGTGGTGGACGGTCAAACGACCTTTAACGAAAGTTGACTGAAAAACAAGCAGTTTCTCAGGTTTTATAGAAAGGTAATCACAGGACATCCTATTGCACTGTCTCCATGCGTGGTCAGATAGTGATCTGGCAAATCAGCTACCCGTACAAATGCTGCAAGCAATAGCGCGATTCTGACATGGTGAATGTTGTCGACCGCCTTATAAAGCCTACTCGGTTGTAGTTCAGCACAATCCTAGAATTCTGACCCGGCGAGCCGGAGGAATGGATGGAAACGCCCACCCTCGGATCCAGAAACTGCGTGTAGTCATTCGCCCAACAAACTGCCCTACGCAATCACTGTCCCACGAATTAGAGCCTAAATTACTTCTTGGAAAACTGCAGGGCTGTAGTTTACGGGCTATGAGTGATATTGGCGACACCAGTGACATAGAGAGAAACAGGTACTAGTCCACGAACACGACATAGGAGTGGTTCTTGGTCCTTAGGTATAAGCTCTTCGTCGCCACCGAAGACGGCGGGTCGAGCCGTTCAGATCGGTTGTCGCTAATCGAGGTGTGTGGAGGGGCACTACCGGTGGTATCACTGAGGACGGTTTGATCGGATGTGATCGTAGCCGCAACAGACGCAAATACAAGGTGGCGATCAGTCTCAGGTGTCATATAGTCGAAAGTATTCCACGTCGACGGCAAAAATCATAAGGTCGCGTAAATAATGCAGTTGTTCTCTAAATCTAAAGCTACTTTGTTACTCACGGCAGGACTGGCTAAGGTATTTTTCGGAAGGTAACGAAGACCCACCACGTCACCAATAAGGATGAAATGCGACATAGATCCCGTCGCCATGGTCAAATTCTCCAAAGGTTCACAAGACAACGATCCCAGAATGTCTATCCAGATAAGGAAACAGTACTATTACAAGGCCGTTTTTCACCAGAATTGTGAAGACCGACAACCGGCCTTTAACGGGCTTTCGACCGCAGACGGACAGACAGCGTTCGTCAACGTGCAAAACGACCGGCTGGATCCAGGACGACGGACGCCGTCACCAGTCCCGAACTTCAGATCTCATTTCCATGAAAATCGACTGATGGTTTATGTAGGCGTAATTCGTCTGAAAGCAGTCAGATGTTACAGTCGTGCTGTAATTAATAAGGCAAACAGCAAATGAGGACGAGGCCCACTTACTCGTAATAATAATGGGCTGAGGTGAGGCCTTGTTTGGACCAGAATCGACCACAATTGGGGAAACCCCTGAAACCCGGCGAAGGATGGAGGGACGCTGGCGTTGAGGCAGCTGTTTCAGTGTGATTATCTGCTTGGCGCCTGTGTTAGTCAGCACAGTGGTCGGCCGAACATACGGCGAGAGGCGATGTGCGGTGACTTCGCGACCACACGACAGACTCGACCCAGTCCCGCCGGCTATTGCGGAGTAACCAAAGGCATCAATTAGGAATACATAACCTACCGGTAGTAAGAATTCATCGGAATAGTGCTATCCTTGGCTTTGTCATAAATAGACTAAATTTTCAAAACACTCAGGCTCGACTAACAGCAAGAACACTTACGAGTAAACTGTGGTCCCTAAAAAGCATCCAATGTGATGAGGGAACATCTCAAAGAAGGAGTTGTAATCAATGGCAAGTGGGAAGGACCACTAGTTCTTAAAGGGCGTAACGGTGACTGGAGCATGAGACTGTTTATGGTGAAGTAGACTTGCGTAACGTCTACTTCATCCTACCTTCCTACGGCCACCATGTTCCAAAAGACAAGACAGTCATGATGACGGAAAACGATGACAATTGCAGTAGCTGGCGAGGCTGGAGTCGCGCCTACACGCGTGCAGGCCCCTAGCAACCATAGGAACCAGTCATTAGTAGGGTCGGAGATCTCGCATAAGTGATCGTGCCCTAAAGGCTACAATAAGACTTAGCGCAGAATGACCAAAGGCTCTGTGTACAACCGGGTTATAGTGTCGGCCGTGAACCTTTCAAGACGGCAACTTTAGAGCATCGTGATTGAGTAAAGATCTGTGTACTCCTTTGAGGAAACGAGGCGTTGGATCCCAGGCGGAACGGCCTATCTTTTCTTTCTCATAGCGGAGGAAGGTACAAGGTAGCTCAACCAGATAGTAAATCGGACAAAGAGGTCATAGCATGAGGCCTCCGCCCTACAAGTGGCATATGGAGATGTTGGACTAACCATGGGAGGCGGAGAAGCGCGCAGAACCTTAGTTTCGCAGATAAAAACTGGCTTGAGTGGGTAATTTCTACGGTAATAACTAAAAATGCAGCCTAACCAGAATCAACCAACCAAACCGATTTATTCCTGGCAGCATTCTCGAATAGCATCTCCAATTGTAAGGCGGCTCTCGTGACCAACGACTGCCAGGCTGAGAGCATACACATTCTCTGACATTTCCCGGTTAGATCATCGCCAAAAAGACAGGGTGAATACGGGATAACTCGGGCCTCGCAGTCAGCTCAGTGCGTATTTGTGTGGTGTGGCCGACTGGCGGGTTGAGCGTCAGGTTGGAATGGCTCCTTTTAATGTGGCCTCTATGGCACTCCCAACCAGTTAGGTTCGAGTCGTCCTTTTTTACATTAGTGTAAAATCCTGGTCAGTGTACGCTGTGGACCAAGGGGTGTGGTGATACGCCTCGGTGCGGGTTCGGCCGTGCCGGCCACCTATACCCCCTCCTGCCTCCGGTCTTCTTGAATGTATTGAAATCGGGTCCAGGTGAGGAGAGTGTGGTAGATGCCGCGCAAGTCAGCTATCACTATAAAAGAGATTGCGCGCAAGTCGCCGTACCTGCACTCACCCTGCTGTGGAGCACACGGCGAACATCGTCGGTCACGATGGTCGAACTATTGATGCCACCAACCGTCAAGCGTGAAGAAGTGCTGTCTAGGGCGCCTTAACACCCTGGCAAGGCTGTCATCTTGTTTTTTTCTGCATAAACCAGATGGAGTATAATGGTCGACGCGCAAAGCGTTTTGTAGGCACCCACGGCGTACGATCTAACTACTAACTTACTTTGACGGCGGTCGAAGGCCTCCTTATTTTCCAATATGTGCGGTCCTAAGACAGTACTCCACGGCACTAGCTTTGTGAACTACATCTTTTAGGACGTCAAATATAAAGGGTTTGACGAAGTATGCGAGGTCGCGTAACCTAGGCAGTCATATCATCATTCACATAAAGGAAAATTTCTACGTAGAATACCGATTACTTCTAAACGTCAAGTTTTTTGTGACTGACTAGTGTGCGGAAAGCTATGCAACAACACACTAGTGTGTCGCAAGACATCCCAGGTACGCTGCAAGGAGGATTGATAACGGTACTAATGCTGTAATTTATCTCTACCTTAAGCCAAATAATTTCTTTCGTCGTGAACCAACGGAAACGGCTATAGGAAATGGCATGTTAAACCTAGTGAATCACAACACTGCTTAGCTGGACTGCGATGGAACCACTGCGCCAGCGTCTGCTGTGGTGGTCCATCCTCAAGGTAGGGACAAAAGAAAGGAATAATGCGTATGTTTTGAGCAGCGGTGTACATAAGAAGATTGTGTACTGCATAATGAATCGCGAAATTTTAGTGTCAGAGCTCTGCCTAAACATAGTGTGAAGATTATGAGTTAAGTTATCAAACGCCTTGATCAAATAAAATTAGGCCAGCAGATCATTATGTGTGAAAAAACGCCCTTCGTTCAAAACAAAATACTATAGCTGCGCAATAAATCCTCACACAGAATACGAATGCATGTCTAACGATAGACGAAGAAAGAAATCTCATTGACCTCAAGGACGACAGATTCCAAAAAGCGTCGCCTGCGAAGCAAACGTCGGTGTTTTGGATCTTAATTCGGAATAAATATCTCTAGAACGAAAAGGCAATCAAGCCTTTGATGCTATTGGAATCTTTGTATCTGCCCGAATGAAGTCTTCTCAGTCCCGATGACATTAAACTCAGAGGGACGGGAACAACTGGGGATGCAAAATGATGAAACGTGTTTGTTTGATGGTTCATTTTGTTCTAATTTGCCCTCCAACACAAGCTTGTCTATCACCCTAGTACGCTAGAAATCAGTTTCTTTCAACTAACCTGAAGCCGTATGTATAAATCGTTTCTAAGTTCCAATAATTTTGTTAGTTTTGAAATCATAATTATTAAGGTGAGAAAAGGCTTTAGAATAATATTATGTTAAAATACTCAGGAAAGGATGGCCGTTAACAGTTCCGGTAGCATAAAATAAGGTGCGGAGCAAGCCCAAGTACGAACCTGGTGTCATGAGCGAGCCACTTAGAGTTTCACTGGAGTCCGGTGATGAATTCATGTTCAATTTGTCACGTACTATAGAAAGAAGGGCAAAATGCGGTCTAGAGAATTCTGGTAATACGCAATCGTGCATAAATACCAAATCAGTTTTCCCGTTAAGGTTATTAAACAAAAAATTAAGGTAGAAATTGAAACGACAGCGTGTCTGCGTCTGAGGAGTAAACATTTGTCAGTCCGAGCCTAGGGATTTCAGACTCGAAATAATTCGGATGGTAAATGAAAGGAACTTAATTATTTTAAGTCTTAAAGGGGATCTCCCAAAAACCATCGCAAAGGAGGGCTCGGGTTCGATTCCAACAGACGTCTGAGGTGATATGGGGTATGTACCCGCACTGAAGTTTTGGTCACGGGGTCGCAAGAAGTCTGGGTTGCCATTGAAATGTGCAGTAAAAAGTAATTAGACGAAATAAAGCACGAAAGCCGTGATAGTTGAAGCCGAATGCCGAAACAACACTTTCTAAGTGCCGCTGTCTAACTTAGTGAATGCTTATTTGCCTGCACAGTTATCCCTAATCAAATGTTGCAGGAAGAACCATCCTTGGCTATAGGACTAAATGAGTCTATTAATACCGATCAGATCAAATTAACCTTGTATCAGGGTCACATTAAATCCTGAAATCCATATATAAATGACGTGCGAAGTAGTGTCATGGATCTAAACCCTAGATAGCGGAATATTGGCTAACATGCACGAAAATAGTGCAGATGGGCGTCTCCGAAACATTCCGCGGCAGCTCAACGCATTATCAGATGCCTTTGTCCTAAAATTGACACCGGCGGACATATAGCTGTCAGGAAAAATGATACGTTCGCAGTTATCCCCTGCAAGACAAGGTGTGAATACCTAAAGTTATCACAAGGACAATTCTCTAAATGCACTACAGCCAGTATATCAAGCAAGAAATTTCCAGAAGCATCCCACAAGGTTCCACGACCATAATTCAAACACCTGACAGATAACTCCTTTACATAAGACCTGGCCAGCATGTCACCAAAAACACCTAGAAACCCAAAGTACGCGAAAAGAAATCTATCCATTCCTATTCCTAGAGAGTTCCAATAGACTGGTAATCAACTGTTGTCCTCGCAATCTCACTCACTAGTACAGTTGGCGAATCCAACAATGCTCTCTGTAAGTACATATATTCGTCCCTAGAAGAGCATAAGCGTCTCGGCCCCAAACAACAAGGCTTTTCTTAAAGGACGGTCCCGTCGCAGAAACCTGCTGCGGTTGTTTCCAGGGGGACCGCGTACGCACTCAAGACCTAGTCCGGTAACTCTTACACGGCGCACCGACAGTCGGTGGAGTGGAATGGGGGAGATAGTCACTGTGTATACGTATGGATCATTCATGAAACGACATGATTCTACGTAAAGTAGAGGCAGGCCAAACAAAAGGGGAGTCCGCGAACTCTGATTAGTTTCCTAGATGCCTCCAGCTACCCGGAAGCAGCAAAACACTTCGCCCTCTCACCTTGTTTATAACTTTACACAGCTCCATTTCTCTTTGGGGCCTTCCTATAATTGTGAAATTATATTTATTCTCGTCTGCGTTAACTTCTTGATCTGAATCGTTCTGACGCCTCCTTTGTACATGCATCTGACCGGTTCCTAATTCCCTCTTTTCTAGATTCATGCAACAGACTGTAGTGACTAGTGGGCCGAAAGTTCCCGTTGGTCATTTGTGAAGTACCTCTATAGTTCCTATCGACCGGAGCGCGAGTTCGTACACCCAGAACCTCCATCACAAGTCTATAGGTTTACGATGAAACACCTGTGCCGCCGTCCAGTGGATTGTGTACTTGACTGGATTTGCACTGGCCGACGAAGACATCAAAAAGCAAAAAACGACTGCCACAATGGTTTCCAGTGGAATATCTATTTAATGTTCCAAGATTCCTGTCCCAAATTCATACGGATTAAATTAAGACCAAAACACAGGAATGTGAAATTTGCCCAGGCATCGCGAAGATAAGCGAACTAGTTACCAGTCAAGTAGAAAAGAGAAAAACTTTTACGAGATACTGAGACAATTTCTGTTTCTAGACTGTTTCCATACGACATGCGCATTATGAACGTCTAGAGAGAAGGCGCAGATCTAGAAGAAGTCATAAAAATCTGAAAATAGAACATAACTAAAGGGAGGTACAGGCGATGCTACTGAATCTTATAAAATCGTCGCCTGTGATAATACAGTGCGCTAGAAAGGTGTACTGAACTCAACAGAGAGCACTCTAATTAGAGTGTAGTATTGTATAGCAGTGGATTAAGCGGTTCGGTCGAACCGGATTGACAACGCGGGGACAAAAAATTCTCATAACTAGGTTGCTTGGAAAATCCTACTTGAAATACTATGAGGAAATGGTCGAAATGGATAAAATCAATTTTCCTCGCTAGTGGTTTGCGATAGTACAATAAACTCTGACAAAAATAGAGGATCACACAGACAACAGACACTAGGACACAACGCCAGGCTACGATTGGTCGGCTTCTTGATTTACAAATTTCGCTGCATGTTAATTAAAATATTCGGTGTTAAATCAAATCAGATCACTGAGCAAGATTACAAATTAAAGGAAGGCCCATTTGTAAGTCACATTTCGGTCCCGAAATACTTTCAGTCGTTATTTAAAGTTGAATCTCTAGTATTTGCAACTGTGAATGACCCTTTTTGGAAAAAGCATCAGGTCAGTCGAGCCGGGCTCTGGGTATTTAACCGGGATGCACAAGCTTCCACTGGTAATCCGCATGAAAGTGTCATAGGCTTCAAGTTAAAACATCTTTGTCAAGAGCTGTCCGCTGACTTGGCCGACGGCATGGTTTGCCGCACTTCCAGGCCCTGAGTCCTTTCTACCTCGTGGACATTGCGACGTTCTGTTGATGCGATGGCAGAGCATGAAGCATTTTGCGCCCTTCCGTCCTTTCCACCGCGTTCTGCAGTGCTTAGTCCAAATTTCTTTTCTTTGTATAATCCGTAGTAAAAGGACATTAGGCAATAGGAACCAGATTTTTCTCCTTTCGTCTCACAATACATGCGCAATTAAGGACTGCCAAAATGGGATGCAGTATAAAATGTGCATTCTAACTATGACCTCTCGAGCGCACTGAAGTTGAAAGTGGCATTCAATACAGCCACAGTGTTCAGCACTTATACTGCTTTTCACCCTAGTATATGTTCTTTTACTAACTTCCATAGTAGACTCTGAGCCTACCTTTCTTGGACTTTCTGGGACATTTTCACTCACAGTCCGAATGTCATTCCCCACGATAACCAGCGTGTTCTCTACAACAGGGTAGAAACAGAAACAGTGACTTATACGTGGCCTCGTTTATGACCGTTCGGCCGTTGATGCCAATCTTGCCTACCGTGGGCTCCACGGCGAGGTAAGGACAGGCTCGGTGACTTGTGCGCATATAAGCTGATCGTGGGAGTGGACCTGTGCAGCATCTATCGCAATTTCTCCTCCCCACCTGGACCCAGTGTCAAGTCATAGACAAAAAGACCGGACGTGGAAGAGATCACAAGCGGATGGCACGATGCCCTCACCGTGGCTTATCATAACATCCTCTGGTCCACAACAAACAAACTCATGACCAGGATCTTAGCCAATAACAACAACACCACGACTAGTCAGAAGTACGACGAACAATTAGACAAAAAGGATGGCGATTCGATCCCAACTGGCGTGACATCGACCTGCATCTGAACTTGCCTTCACACCCCGAACGTTCGCATTTGTTTGGGAAGGCATTTCCAACCACGTCTGCCGCACCCCAAACTAATCCCCGTGGTTCGTTTTCGGGACAAAACATACACACGCGTGACAGTTCGGATGTCGTTACTGATGACGTTGACCGTGTTGTCTACAGTAGGGCGGAAGTAAGGGCAGTGATTGCATATGAATTCGTTTATAATGATGGCGGACCTGCAAAGCACCTACCGCGCTCTCTCCTGCCCCTCCTCGACCTGGCGGTATGACATGGTCGAGAAGACTGGAGGTAGAAGAGGGCGCAGGCGGCTGACACGGCGAAAATCCACAAATAATCGCGTTGCGTCAAACCAGCTCGGATTCCACTAGGTGAGAATGCCACAGAGACCATATTAAGAAGGATCCATTGCAACTTGACTCTCAATCCACCAGTTGGTAACTCCACCCAAATGCTTACTGGGCTGACCGCATAATCTTAATTGCACCATCGGCCGGCAAACTTCCGTATAACGGCTTTTAGCGCACCGAAATAACCCCAAACATGTCCGATTGTTTTTAGTGAGCAATTGTGCGCTGAGAATCGACTTCACTTGAAATATCCCACCCTGTGCACCGGCCGACCGTCCGAAACGGTTTATTGGATGCCTCTGAGATTGGCGCCGGTGACTGCCACAGCTAAGACTTCACATAGGGCGCAGACGGCTCTGATCTCACGTGTAGCAGATTAGCCAGAAGAAGAAGGGTCCGAGGAACGCATTTCTCATTTACGCGAAAGGCGATTGTGCTGTGCGATGTCGTAGGTGTTCGCTTGTTGCATATATATTGATTAAAAAATGTGTAGTGAGGTGGTTTAATAATATTTTTTTATTAAAGGCCCGTCGGGTTCCCATCAAAGTGAGCAAAAATAAATTAACATGCGAATTTTAGACGAGGTAGGCAGAATCTGTGCTAAACGCGATTCATAGTTTCTGAATTAGTTGTCTGTCGAGAAAAATGACTAGCAAGAGGTGAAAAAACCCCACTAAAAATTTCAAAATGACTGAATCAACTTTACAGGAGAAAAAAACCTTTCGAAAAAAACAACAGCAGAAAACTGCGGACAGGACTGGCCTGTAGGTGGCGGTATATAACGGATTATAATCGGACATCGTCAGGGCAGAAATAAATGTCCGCATTGAGGGGTACGTATGCGGGTCAGACTGGACTGGCCTGCATGTGGTATTCTATACGGGATTCAGAACTGACATCGTCAGGGCAGAAGTGATGCACCGGATGAGACTATTCGCGT